AGGCAGGCCCCAGCTCCCAACGTATGACACTTAAGGGGACATTTCAGAATCAAGCCATAATAACATTTATTACACCATCTGTACTCTCCTCAGGACAGCCCATTCTGAGAAGTCTCCATGACCCACACAGAGCTGCACGGCAAAGCCAGAACTTAAATCCAAGCCGCCCAGTAGGTGCAGTATCTCGAAGTAACGGAAAAGTTTATGTGAACACTGTGAAAGGCGCAGTCCCCGAGCTTCAGACGAACATGAAATATCTTGGAGATCCAGTATGAAAGTAACATTGCGACCTAAGTCTAGGAAAATGAAAAGCTATCCTCTGACCTGACATATACCTTCAAACTCTGGAAACCAGGTCGGGTTCTAAGCCATAAAACTATTCATTTTTTCCCGCAAGAACAGTAAGACATTATTCTTCTGACGCAGGCTTATTCACATATATCCCAAACATTTAAATCTCTAACCACTACTCTTTGTAACCCATTTATATTTTCTGGAGATCTTTAATAAAAGTCAAGATGATTCCAATCTGATTAACTCAGAATTAATTTTCCCTAGATCTGTACACATCAAATTTGGAAAATGTTCTTTTATTAATTCTCGTGTTAAGGAACCAGCAGGGTCACTGCTACCTTGTAGAGCAGTGACACCTAGTGTTCACAGCGGATACTGCACCTCTCTTTAACAGTTCTTATCTTTAACCTTTGGTGTTCAAATTGCAGTGCTCCTCACAATTCCCTGCGGAGCTTAAATGCAGATTCCTAAACCTTCACTGTCATAGACTGTGATCCACACATATCTGGGGCAATATATATTGCTATCCCAACTGCTGCCACGCCCTTTACCACGCCCTCGTCACCCCCGTCCACAGGTCTGTAGCAGGTCTTCTCACACCGCACTGTGTACAGGAGGCCCTAGGGCTCTGGTTGAGATGTAGATTCTGGGACAGCAGTTGGGGATGGGGGTCAAGGAGTCGGTGTTTCTCACTTCTGTTTTAAACCTAAGCATTGCTACTCCTTTATGTAGTGAGGCAACCACAAACTGAATCTTCAAAGTTTACAAAAATGTGACTGATAAAATACTTGGGGCTGGGGATTTAGCTCAGCGGCACAGCATCTGCCTGGCAAGTGCAAGGTCGTGAGTTCGATTCCTGGTACCAGAAAAAAAAAAAAAAAAAAAACACTTTTGCTCAGTGGTTAGACAGAATCTACTGTTCTCATTCTGCAACACACTTGAAGTCCTAAAGGATATCCTCAGACACGGCAAGAAGTAGGAGCAAAGCACATTAACAACCTCATGGACATCCTCTCTAAATCCGTTCCTGCTCCTCTCTACCCCAAACCATTTCGTAACACCAAACAGGAAGAAGCGATATCATCTCTTAGAAGCGCTACACATGTACAGGAGAGCAGAGCGCGGCATTAGCCCCTCCCAGTAAGAATGGAGCTCAGAGAAGCTCCGTGGTGACAACAGCAGTAATATCGATGATCCGGATGAAGAGGATACTGGCTAACAGGTACCGGAAACCTGTTAAACAATTCACTGGGGCTCATTTTTATATTTATGTATATTTGTATTGCCTATATACTAAAATAGATGTCATTTTCCCCATGTAATTTGTACTTACTCTTAATATCTAGTATCAAAATTAAAGCCTAGTTCGAGACTGCATGAATTATATGCAAACTAAAAGCCAAAATGCTTTAAACCACTGCATCCCACATGCACAGTGCTCACACGAACATCGCTAAGGCCCGTGTGCTGCCACCAGTCACGAGCCCCTCAAACATGCAAGAGGCTGCCAGGACAGCAGCAGGTTTTCTAGAGATCTTCAGAGCATGTGCCAGTCTTCTTCACCTTCTTTCCTTTCTTTTTTTTTTTTTTTTAGACAGGGCCTCTCTCTGTAATTCAGGCTCATCTTGAACTCACTATATAGCCCAGGCTGACCTCAAACCCATGGCGATCCTCCTGCCTCAGCCTTCCCAGTTCTGGGATTATGGGCATGCCCCACCACACCCGGCTATGCCAGTTTTAATATATCAAAATCTAATATGTCCAACTGGAGTATTGGTGAACTTAATATAGCAAGTATTTAATATATCAAATTGGAGCATCTATGCAGGCAGCTTAAAGAATGTACAGTCAATAGCTGAGCTCTGCTGGGAGTGATGGTACACACCTGTAATCCCAGCACTTGTGAAGTCTGAAGCAGAAGGATCACAAGTTTGAACCTAACCTCGATAATACAACAAATCAAAGCAAGATTTAAATTTAAAACACAAAAGTTGGGGATGTACTTCAGTGTGAAGGTCCTGGGTTTATTCCCAAGTACTGCAAAAATTAAAATTAAAAAACTACAGACTTCTGTAACCAAAAGAACAAAATTGTTCAGATACTTTTACCTATATTCTTTTTTATACACATTATTATCCATCCTTTACATGCTATTCTATTCAAACAAGTAACAGCTGTATGAAATCTTTTCTTAAAATAACACAGAATATTGTCTCCAAATTTCTAATACGCTTTAGCATGCTTAGTTGAGCAGAAAAGATTCTCTCTTGTCTCTTTGGGTTTTATAATACCATTTTCTGTATAGAAAGGGCTGGCTTCAATATAATCATCTTTACAGGCTGAGCATTTAGTGATGATTGCATATTCCCTCGTTTGCTCTAAGTATGCGCCCTTTGTTGTTGAGAATCAGTGTTCTCCAGAACAAAAAGGAGGCCATATGTTTATCAGAAGGCATTAATGCAAGCAGCTGTGAGCGTGAGACAGAAAGAAAACTCTAAGGATTACACATTAGCCTCTGAATAATCTCATAATCTAGGACTTTGATCAACCTTTATAGCTCTCTGTAGGCTCTGCTTTGCCTCTGAAGAGTAAGCACAAAACAAGATCGAATGAAAGGAAGGGAGCAAGGAGATAAGAGGAAATGGAAAACAGTTGGGAGACAGACACCTCCCTCTTTTTCTTGGTTTTGTTGTCATAGAAGGAATAGAGATTTTGCAGCTCTACGAATCTGCCTTTGAATCTCATATCCAACACTATAAGTAGCTCTACAGCATAAACAGTTTACTTATATCCGAGTCTTGCTCAGTTTCTTTATCTGTGAAACGCAGAACCTACAAGCTTCTCCCAGTAGAGCTGCTGAGAGGACAATGCGAGGTAGACATGGAGTCCAGAAACTGAACAGCGAGGAACAGCTGCTGTTAATGGTAGTTGCCACCACCTCTGCGTCTGTTCAGCTTTCAGGACATATTTACTGATAACCTCCTTGGGGCAGGAGTACAGTGAAGTCTCAGGAATGGTGAACAAGCAGACAAAATCCGTCCTCAAGAAGTTTATGCTTCATCTTTTGAATACCAAAGCAGCTGAACTTTCATCCCCCACAACTCCAGGGTAACTCCTTCAGCAAACTTTATCAGTCAAGTACGACAGACTCTTTCTGGTTCTACATAAGACCTTTGAGCCCCATCTAATAATACTAGGCAATTATCTCTTGATATCTAGAATATTTCTCTCTTTGCCTCCCCCCACCTTGTTTCCTTTAGGCTCTGGTGAGACTTTTCTGATTTGTCACTAGAATTTCTTCTTCTGCTACCCCTTTAATATTTCTTAGAATTCTAAGTTTTACCTTTTCTTTTTACATCCTGCACTAGTGGCCTCTGATCTTCATGGAGATGGAGTATTTTAAGACCTTCAAGGTCATGGACTCCTTTAAGGACCCTCAAATCTCCATCTCCCACATAATCCAGTTTCCTGAGAAGTAGGTCTTCTTTAGACCACTGGATAACTCTACATGACTGTCCTTCAGGCATCTGGAAATGTCCCGCAGCAACCTCCTTATCTTTCCCCTTCAAATCCTCCTCCTGGGAGGCAGTATGCTATGGGGAAAGGAACACTATTTTAAACCAAATAGACCTGAGCTTAAATCCTGCCTTGGAAGAGTCAGCAATATGCTTTACCTCTTTGGGCTTTAATTTCTTCATTTATAACAAGAGAAGGATAATAGTTCCGTTTCCTCTATTTTTATGCAGAATATAATAGGTAAAGGGCAGATACGTATCCAAGTGTCTGGCACATAGCGAATATTATATCACTGACTCTCAGTCTCAGTAAAAGCAACTCCATTCACCAAGTACCTTGAGCCAAAAATACAGATGTCACCATCAACTGGTCCCCTCATCCTCATCTGCAACCATCCCATCTTACTATGCTGTGTGGACTCCTTGCCTTCCCCCTGCTACAGCTCCGGTCCTTGCTTTCTTCTTTATGAACACAGCAATAGACTCTTAGCTGGTTGATCCCACTGCAGTTCCACACCCTTCTAACCTATTCCCTGCATCGGGGCCGAAGAACATTTCCAAGACAAAAATCTGATAACACCACGACTCTGCCCACTGGCTTCTCATCGCTTCCAACATGACATCTTGTTAGTGTTACACAGTAGGCCGGTGACGATCTGGTCCCCTCTCCCTCCAGTTCAACTCCTCAGACTAGTTGTGCATCTTGTAAACTATGCCCAGTGCTTGGACTTTTTACCTCTACTTATGTTTCTGTTACCTGGAATGTCCTCAACTCGCTCCATTTCTTCTTGGCATTTAGACAAATACCTATATATCTTTCAGAGCACAGTTCAGTCATTGTCTGTGGTAGACGATTTTCCATCATAGCAAAGATGAATAACACGTGCTTCCTGATCTCAAAAGGCCTACCCTCATCATGCAACAGAAATCTTGCTATATAACAAGACAAACAGGAAACAGAATTATGAGGCACATAAAAAATAGGAGCTACAAACAAATACAATGCTCAGCTAAGTGGTTCCTTCTTTGAAGCCCTTTGTGGTCCACCCCACTGCTAACTGTATATATATGTATACACGTGTGTGTGTGTGTGTGTGTGTGTGTTACCATGTAAGTGTGGGATATGTGTTAACTCATTTAGTCTTCACAAAACTGTGCTCATTTTAGAAGTGAAAAAAAAAGACAAAACTAGAGCATAAAATTAAATAACTTGTCCAATAAGACCCAACTAGAAATAGTAACACCACATTTAAGACCGATTCAACTCATGTAGCGTCAGTCCATCCCTACACAACTATTCTGCTTCCCAGAAGAGCACAAATAGAGACGGAAGAGTCTTCAGAGGGTAACTTGGAAACACTGGAAGGGTAATCTGGAATTCCGTCTCCCAATCTCATTTAATTTCCGGGTGCTAGTGTTAAAGGCCTCAAATCGCTGCCTTCCTGGGAGCTTTTTGGTGCTTTTTATTCCTCAGGGACTTGGCATCCAGAGTGTGACCAGAGACCAGAGGTTCTAACATAGAAAACTTCTGCCTCTTCCTTGTGTTTCTTATATTTAGCTCCAAGCTTGTCAACCTGTCGTCGATGGGTTGCAGATACCTGTGTTAAAGTAAAGAATATTTTGAAAACGAAAGTTTTGTTGCTTGCATACATTTACCATGCTATATATTTTATATTCCACCCAAAACAGTGCCTCTTTCCATGGCGCAGAGAAAACCGGCATGTACAGCCCTCGGGCCACAGGCTGAACACGTGTAGGCGTTTTCTCTGAGAAAACATGCGGTGTTTCTTCAACTTCAAATCTCAGTCTGAAGACTTCAGTCACTGGCCCATTTCTTGAGCTACTAATTTCCCACAGTAAAAAAACAACAATTAAAAACGTAAATTGAAGTGAGAAATTTTTGGTTTTCCTCCCCAGTTCTCTCTCACAGGAAAGAGAAAATACACATACAGTATGAGGGCTTTGGGCGAGGACAATTTCCTGAAAGGGGGGGTTTTTGAGACATCACATGATATTTCCCAAGGAAAGTAAAAGAACCTAAAGTAATAGGATTTACTTCCTTGGACATCCTTAGCTCAGACATCCTAAGACATTCTTTTTCTAGGATTCAACGTTCATTGATTTGAACAGCCAGGGGTTGTCACATGGCTAGTGATTTGTAAAGCCAATAATTTGGACATCACTTACTGAAGTAATTGGACAGCAGTGGAACCAGGTTTACTCTCTACGTTACGAACACAGAGGATGTTTGCTAAACTAACTATATACATACCATGGGGGAAATGCTCAAATTGTCTACCAGAACTATTTTTAAATAGCTTTTAAAAATACTTTTACCAGTAATTGTATTGCAAAATATTACCCAACTGATTTGGAATCATATCCACAGAAAAACCTGCCCACAAATCTTTAAAGAAGATTTATTCACAACCATCAAAAACTAAAAGAAACCAAAGTGCTGATACAGAGGCAAGAAACTTCCAAACTGCTAGATGTCCGGTACAAGTTGTGTCCTCTAAAATCAAAAAATGAATTTCAGGAATAACAGAGATGAAGAGCAGAATATATTTATTGGGGGAAAGAAAGCTTCTGTCCAAGAGAGAGACAGAAGGTGTCCTGAGTGGGTTTCCAAGGACCCTGCCTTTTCTAGGGATTTTTATAGAGCAAAACCTCAGTGATGTGGGTCTAAGGTGGGGGAAATGGGAAATCGTGGACATGAGGTGGGACAAAACTGTGGCCTACCAATAGAATTACGAGCAGAGCTGCTCAGGTAAGATGGATTAAACCAGGATCAAATGGGGAAGCGAGGCACATAGCAAGCGGGCGTGAACGCAGAACAGGGGCTTTTCCTGTAGGGAGTTGGGTCATTGGTTCTTTCTGCTTCCTCAAGGTGATCTATACCTATTTTGAATATCAATTCCTAATGTTTATCCTTAGAAAATACGTGGGTGAATGTTTTCTCTTTTGCCTTGAAGCCTAGCCCTCAGTGGAGGTGACTGTCTCCCTCATAGTTGCAAGGTATCTTGTCTTCTGCATGGGCTCCTTCAAGAGCCTGGCCCTGTCTGACTGCCTATAATACTTCCATCTAACTCATCTGTCTAGAACAGTGCTCTTTACTGGTGAAGGTATAAACAAAGAATGAAACATCTGTGTATTAGAACATTATTCAGAGTTTAAAAAAAAAAAAAAGAAGAAATGAGTCATCACATAAAATGAAAATGCTAAAGGAAAATCACTCTGAAAATCTACATATTCTGATTTCATTTCTAGATCACTAGAAATGCCAAAACTACAGAGATGGTAAACAAATCAGCGATTACTAGGTGTTTGAGGAGGTAAGAGGATTTAATAGATGAACAAGTTTTGGGGTTTTTTTTAGACTGTATTAAAGATAAAATTGATAGGTTCCTGCCCCAGTATGAATTGTTGAGTCATTATGGTGGTGCTCTGACATGGGCTGAAGCCCCAAAATAACAACCTCTCTTCCAAATGACCATTCCCCCTCGCTTCTTCTCCCCTCAGCCCTGAATAGAACCTCCTCTTACCCTTCCTGCGGGCTCCAGGGAAGCCCCAGTCTGCTCCTAACCTGTCACTCAGCGTCCCTCAAGCTCCGCCTCTAGCCAGCGTCCTCATAAACCCCAGCCTCCTTTGTCTACCTCAGAGGAGCTCCGTGTGAGGAGGAAAGGCCTCCTTTTCCCTTTTGTGTGTTTCCTCTTCTGCATCGAAAACCTAACAAAAATAACTACTCATAGCACTGCACTGCAGGTAGTAAATCTTCCCACAGGCATACTTCATCACAATTCTGAACACACTATACGTGCGCACCGAGTATGGATTAACAATTCTGAGCCCACGATACATTCGAACTGGAATCGGAAAGTCGAGTAAGTAGATGGCAGGCGGTGGAAGCCGAACTTCTCACACAGGAGTGGACGCTTACATACAAGCAGTGACGCTGGCATGATCCTGTAGTGCTAGGTTGGGGCTGGAGACATCAGCGTGAACTCCTATTTAGCTGACAAAGATGCCCATGGGTGCATACATAAATATTTATAAATAAATATGTTTACTCAGGTTAGTGTGCACAAATATAGCTCTTTGCTCTGTGATTAAGTAGGCCTACAGGGACTAATACTCCAAATGCACAAGTCTTGATTTCCAGCCATTTTCCATTAAAAGGACCCATGGCTCCTTGGGAAATTGGTTAACTTTAAAGTAGAACTTGGAGAGAAACAAAAATGAAGCCACGCTGTGCCAGTGTAAAATCTTCCCAGCTCCAGGCAATCAAGTCCTCCGGCAACTCCTCCCTCAGGAATGCGGACCTGTTCTTTTTCACCGCAGTTCTGTGCTTTTCTACTGATAAGGGAGACACATGAAGCAGCTCTCTCCCGGGAATTTCCTCCTTTAGAGGGTCATACTGGGTACCATCAGCAATATAACTAGCAAATGGGGTTATAAACAAGCTGCACAGCACCCTAACATTCGGAGATGCACGCGACCTGTTTTCTTTTCAAGGATATGACAGGCTACTAGGATGCCTAACTGCCTTTGTTCACATCTGTATCTCTACTTAACTGGACATCACAAAATGTATAACAGGGGACCTCTCCTGGGTTCCGGGCCTGCCTGGTTTTAAGCATTTTCAGTAGCTGGCTCGCGCGTGAATAAAGTCGTCCTGTAATCCCTCCTGGTCTACACAGTTTCTTGGAAACTCCGTAACATTTTCAGGGCTGCAGCAGAGAACACATAAAATGATCTTGAAGCATCTTATAATGCCAGAAACTCAGGAAATGATCAAGGAAATCATAACCATTTATGAAGGTGTTTCAAAAAGGCAGATGTTGGGCTGGGGATTTAGCTCAGCGGCACAGCGCCTGCCTGGCAAGCGCAACATCGGGAGTTCGATTCCTGATACTAGAAAACAAACAAACAAACAAAAAAAAAATCAAAAAGGCAGAGGTGCCAATGGAAATAAATCCCATGACCAAAACCGGCACAACTTGAACAACAAATTAAAGTAGTACTGGATTATAACTCAAATTTTAAAATAAAAGGCCACAAGTCCGTACTAATATAAATGATTGAATACATAAACAAACGGGAAACAGACAAATCCCCAATGCAGAACTCCAAGTAAGTGATGAAGATTCTCTCCCCTCAAAGAACATCTTCTCCTACAATTTGGGCAGTACATAGTGACATCCTTCCAAAGGAAAAAAGTGACTTCACAGTGGCGAAAACTGAAGTTTCCCGGTACCGGGAAAAAAAAAACAAAAAAAAATTTAAAAAAATAAAAACTTAGGAAATCTGAATGCAGTGCGCACTTTAGCTACTATCTTTAAAAACACATTAGCTAAATTACAATGTCTCGCTGTTTTATGAGTTGTCTGATCTATATTTACTGAGCCTATGGTGACACCTGGCACGGTAGTACAGCCGCGGACACAGAGTAAAGGGTAAGCGCCCTCCCCTCAAAAGCAACGGCGCAGGAAATATAAATAATAAAGATAGCCCCAAATACTGTATCGCGAAGGGAGTAAGAAAGGCTGCGAGGAGGGAAGGCGGTGTATCAAACAGACCAACCAGTCCACCAAGTAAAACTCCAGCCCGCCCCGCCCAGCTAAAGCACCGCCCCCTGTCGCTCAGCCCCGCCCCGCCTTTGGGCCACCCTGGCCTACGTGACAAGCGTGCGCATCACTATCTCGACGATCCCCCGCCTCGATGCGCTCGGAAGCGACTTCTTCGGTCTACTCGGCCGACGCAGACGCAACTCCCTCCGCGCAGAGCGCCGCCATTTTGACGGCGGAAGCGTCGGCCTGCGGGACATCCGAGGGCGGCTCTGCGGCTCGGTACGGATGCTTTCCGCCCGCGGTAGCCCCTCCGCGCTCGCCCGTCGCCGGGCCGCAGCTCTCGGTATTGCCTCTTTTCCCACGCAGCCCCTGGCTAAATCTTCAGGTTCTCCCGAGCGTCCTCGGCGCGCACGGGCGGGCGGGGGCGAGGGGGAGGGACGCCGCGTGGGGG